ATTGTATAAAACAATAGTAAACATCTTTCGTTCATAGTTCTTTAAATATGGATATATAATTTTTTTCCTAATGTCATAAAAGGTATTAAGAAAAATTTAACAATTATAAAGTTAACTTAAAATATAGAATTTGTAACACAACACAAAAATATTGTACGAAATATAAGACTTATGTGTACATCAACTGTGTATCCAGGTGGTCTGACAAGTGCAACTTATACTACTTTTACTGTCTAACGTTCGTTCATTTCCGTATTTCTTTTCTTTCCTAATGTAAATAGGCATTGTATTCTACATGAACATAGTTCATTTTACTACCCCATATAAGTATACGAACAAAATTACATGAAATTATTTAAGTACTCGATATTGAAAAAATGTTTCTCGAGAAAACTTTTTCCGTATACTATCCATTTATCGGGAATGAATTTTGTAAATAATTTTACGAAAACCTTTTCTTATCACTCCCAAAGCTAAAAAAGGATTTCAGTTTTAAAAAATTTCCTGACAATCATCCAATTTTACAAAAATCTGCGTTTATTGTTCTCAAAATTTTCGCTACAAATCACCTCTCGTTAATAACACTAACAAACACCTATTGATTCGCTCATCGCTAAACCATCTAACCACCATTGCTATCTACTCGACATTAGATTACTCAACACATAATCACACGTAACGATAATCGCATAAATTCGGCTCTTAGCCAACCTCAAAATCCAAATTCCACAAGGAATGTTCACCAAACACCGACTGGTGAAAACCAGGAAGCCAAGAAAATTCTTTTAATCCACCAAAGAAAAACCAACCTATCGAAAAATCATAAGTACACTTCTACCCTGCAATTTCGCAAAGCCCGAAATCCCAAAATCGAGCTTCAAAGGAAAATCCATGTTTCATACTGACGTTTTGCGTCTGAAACAAAGTCGAAACAAAGCGACGAAAAATTTTCCGGGATACCCTAATAGAAAACTCAGGATCGGGAGGGAAATAAGACAAGAGCAGGAGGACAAGAAGAACAGAGGTCGAAGGAGGGATAACAGGAGCAAGAGTGCAAAGGGAAAGA